CCCGGCCTGTGCCAGCCAGTGATCCCAGAGCCGAGACAGTCCCGAACCAAAACCCCAGAAGAGCGAGCCCAAGCGATCCCTGAGAGAACACCCCTGTCTTCCAGTCAGCCCTGGTTAATGTACTGACATGACGGGATATGATCTGGAATATCTCATTGGCACATCAAATGTCAATTTTGGGTTTTGCTATTACTACACTTCTCCCTCCCAGTCCTAGTGCAGCTGTGAAGCAGCCAAACACGGTGGCCTTGAGCTCCAGCAGCAACAATAACATTAGCACTTTTATCAATGTTCTTCTCATAACAAGTCTGAACTGAAGCACTGAAACTAAAACACATCTCTTCTAACTACTAAAAAGAAAATTAACTCTATCCTAGCAAAACCAGGCCAGAAGGGTAAGGTTTCCCCATGAAACTAGAAATTTGAACATGTGGGCTTTACTTTGCCAAATGTGCACCTTTCTGCTCTGCCAGAGATTGGTTGCTACATGCCCCTTGTTGAGAATGTTCTGTGCACTGTGTGAGGTTGCGTCTAACTGGGACTTTTAACGTGCTTCTGGCAAAAGGAGCCTTACGTGATCTTCTGTTTTTCTTTGTGCTAAGACTGAAAGTGTTCTGCATCTCACATTCTGGCTAAGGAGAAGTGTCCAAGAGAGAAGGTTTTTATTAAAAATAATATATTTTCCCAGAAACTCCTGTGTGGAAGCCAATTCTTCTGCATTCCTAATAACTTACTTCCACCTCCTTTGTTATGGGACTTGGTAATGCTGCAAAAAATTCATTATCTCCAGGAATTTAGGGTCATTGCAGCTATACAGCAGTGGTCTTCCCTGATGGAAAACTCCCACTCCTATTGCTAGCAGTTGCATACTTTACATTCAGGAAAAGGTGGATGAGCTGTGGTAGAACACGCTGACATGGTGAGGAGGTTGAAGGTGTGAAAGATGAGTACCAAAAAGGCTGGTAAAAGAAAGCCAGATGTATAGAAGAGTGATGAGTAGGACAGTAGAAAAAGCAAATGATAGGCTAAGTGTTTAGAAGTCAAGATCTTTACTGAGTCAATTACCTGCAGTGTCCGGTCCAGAGAAGTGTTATGTTCAGGCTTAAACTTAACCTCCATAGTGAAAACTGAGCATGAGGAAGAAGGTACAGATAGGAAAAATCCACCCAGCATGAATCCTCAAAGCCCTGGAGGCATTATGTACCATCTGCATGAAGAACCCAACTTCCCCTATGCTTAGCTCTTGGGGTTGGCAGTACAGCGTGTGTCCGCTGCAGCTGCATGGGTCAGAGCACAGGTTTCTGAGCTCAGGTCAGAGCAGCCTGTGTGGTGGGATATGGATCTGCTGGGAGAGGATAAACTCCAAAGAGTACTGGCTGTTGATTATGGCTACCCCTCTTCTCCATATGGGTGTCTTTCTACAGGACTTCATTTTGATCTATGCCTGTGTTTAGGCAAGAAACTGAATCATAACCAGATTTTAATTTGAGCTGTTAAGATGTCTCACATCAGGAGTCTTCAGTCAGCTGGTCTAAGTGTGACTGATCCTCACCTTGATAGGGGCTTTGTGCAGGACAAGAGGTATCTTCTGTAGCTTTCCTTGATGTTCTGACTGAAGAACATTTTGATTGTAATAGCTTTTTAACCATTTAACTTTGTGCTCTGTCTTCAGAGGATGTGCTGAGTAAAGATGCTGGGGAGTGTGCAATATGCCTGGAAGAGCTGCAGCAAGGAGATACTATAGCACGGCTGCCTTGTCTCTGCATTTACCATAAAGGGCAAGTATTCTTCAGGATGCATATAGAATTCCAGAAGGTTGCATTTATTGGCTAACTCCTCTAAGGGTTGTTTAAAGGAGCACTAAAACTTAGTAGCTTTTTACACTCAAGAGAACAACAACAAAGAACAGCAGCAACCCTAAAGATGTTTTTTAAAATGACATAATGACCTGTATGGGGAAGGAGTGAACATCATAGCTATGGAGCTGAGGCTGTGTGTACCTACATAATAAAAATTGTGTCAAATGCTAATTGCCTTGGGGGGAAAGGGGAAATGCTTTTAAAACCTGTTTTGTATTGGTTTTTACAAGTGTCTGTAACTACAGGAAGTAAAATGTCAGTGAATGATACAAGCAGGATCATAGTGTTAGCAGTGAAGTAACCTGTGTCTATACACAGGTTACTTCACTACTAACACTATGATTAGTAATAGTAGCTATTATTACTATTACTGGATAGTAATTTGTAGAATGGCTCCTTAGAAAATTGTAACACTTAAGATACTTAGTTGTTTAACAGTGTTTAATATCCAAATGTTACTGTGGTTTGAGGTTATTACGTTTTCAATTAATGTTGAAATATGCGTATATATAGATTTACTTCTTTTTATAATATAAAATCCTACTATTCATTGAAATTATGATAAAGCAATTTATATTAATATCTTACTGCTAAATGTTACTGAGATATTAATGTCAATTGTTTTCATTTTTGTCTTGCATCCAACAGCTGCATAGATGAATGGTTTGAAGTAAATAGATCTTGCCCTGAGCATCCATCAGATTAAGACAAGATTCATGTTTTTAGGTAATATTTATTTTTAGACACATACATTTCAGTAAAAAATATATTGATTAGCTGAAATAACTTTTTATGCTATTGTTTTTTAATTTGAGAATTTGCTGCTGTGTCTCAGATCTACAATATAAATTAGTAAGTATTGATGTATATTGCAATATGTAAAAAGCTTCTGCATCCTTATATGGCATGGTCTGAAATGATGTATTCCATTTTTAGCACTGGAAAGTGGCAAGTCAGTGCCAGTAAAGCTTCAGCATTAATTTTTAAAGAGTAATTTTTCCATGGGAATTAAACAAATTTAAAATAATATAGTTGTGTAATTTTGGATTGTTCCATGAGTACTGGCATTTATCTCCGATGGAAAGCTTTTAGAATCATATGGAAAAGTTGAAACTAGATATTTTCAAAACCGCTTTCATGTTAGTGCATTCCATAATGTTTAGAATAATAAATAAATAAATGTTTACATGTGTCTTTCCATCCCATCTCGCAGAGGTTCACATTTTTCCAGCTGATGTTTTGTGTTAATGATTTCAGATCTGCAGTCGGTGTAAAAGGCTTAAAGAATAGGTTTATTCTTTTAGTTGACTAGTTTGAAAACTATCTTTCATGAAACTATTGTCCTAAGTATTGAAAAACACACCAAGAATCATCATAATTCTTAAAGTGAGATACCTGAAATTCTAGCTGGTAGTTGAGGGTTTGGTTTAGTGGTTCTGGAGGAAATTTAAAAAAAAAAAAATCTGAAGACTTAATCATTGGCATTTATTTGTTCATTTGTTTCATCTTGCTCCATGAGTCTGTGTTGCAGGTCACATTGCAGTGCTATGATTGTTGCAGGACTAGCAGAAAGAACCTGAAGGAAGGTATCCTGCTACAGGGGTAATTTTTTTGACCTCAGGGCAGTGTTAGCTGAAATTAATAGATAAACACATTTTCTGTATTGCCCCCAAGAGTTGAATTGTTGAAGAAGCCCCGCATGCTGTTTATAAACATATTTATGTCTGTACGTGCTCATGGGTGTCTAACCTCATGGTAAATCCAATTTGCTTTTTTTCACAGCGGAGATGGTGATAATTGGGGGCTTAAAGACAAGGGGAAGGAAAACACAGTGGTTGTGCTCATGCTGTTTGAGTGTGTTATATACTGAAATAGCTGAAATGATGGTACTTTGTCTTCTGTTTTTTCAACAGCTGCTTCCACTGATCAGAAAACATAGGAGATGTGAGGTTCCCTTGCTGAACACAGCGTGCCTGGCTTGAAATTTACAGTTCTTTGTGGCTGAAAAAGGCAAAGATGGACAGTGACATGGAACAGGCATTGCAGACACCGGTTACTTGCCAGTAGTGCTCGGTATACCAAACACTCATGCAAAGGACACACAGGGATTTTGAAGATGCTGCACATTCTGTAACAATTGACTCCCCACAGACATTTCTGACACTGTTTTCTATTGAAGGCCAAAGTTCCTCATTTCAGCCTAACTTCTGGTTCTGTGAAGAAGCGGGTTATTGGACATGTTTCCTACTGCCTCAAGTGGAAGCAGAGATGTTCAATACGTGCTATCTGAGACCCTTGCAGGAGGATGGCCCCAATGGGAACATTTTCACCTTCTCGTTGGCTGAACAAGAGTAAATGGCAAACTAAATACGATCTAACAGTGTGACCTTAATTTACTGAATTCACACCCTGTTTTGTGTTCTTCACTTTTTTCAAGAACAGAAAACGTAAACTTCTCTGCATAGGAATACTAAATTTCAAAATTTTGTAACTAAACCTTTGTCACAATGCAGTCCAAAGAGTAAAACCAAGACAGGTAACTAATTTATATTGATCAAGCTATAGGGATTGTTGAAATCTGCACATTGTATTGCTATTTAAGTAACTAAAACTTCTCTTTTACTGCTTGTGAGTAAAAATAACAAAAAATGCAGCAAAGCAAAATCTTACAGCTATGCAACTTTTTTTTTTTTTAATAGGAAAAAAAAAAAAAAAAGAATTACCAATTTTAAGTGCTGCCAGTTAAGGTAATTTGTTTAACGGGTATTTTTTTAAAAATGTTTCAGGTAATTATTTTATTGTACTACTCTCATCTCCAGGCTGCCTCCTGAGATGTAAATGAATAACTGCAAATGTGGGCACAGCAAGAGGTTTTTATAGGCATGGGTGAGATGACATCGAGGTGGGATTTGTGTTTAATTTTCAAAACACACACAAGTTTTTGTTTCCTTCTTTTAATGTTTTTTTTTGATGGCAGGATCTGTAGTACTTTGTATCTAAATCCTTGGTCTCTCATATGGAGATCAGCATTTGACAGTATGGTTTGGGTTTTGGGGTTTTTTTTTTAAATGCACCTGCATTTGTTTAATTTATTATTATTTTACTGTATTATATTGGTATAACCAGGGCTCCAGGAAACACAGGATGTCTCTGGTGGGGTACACCAACTAAAACTGTGGATAAGTATTAGTTCCCATGAAGTATCACAGTTCAAAAAAAAAAAAGAAAAAAAAAAAAGACAGGGAAAGAAAAGACAATAAACTGGAACAGACATCAGGGCTTAGAAGCATGCTTTTTATACCAAGGATTAATTGTAATAGTTTCTGAATTTCACAGCACAGGGAAGAGTTTATGAATATTTATTAGTGACAGCATTTTTAGTGGGTTTCAGTAGTTAAAATCAATTGCACAACACTTTGAACATTTTTCTTGTATGTAATTCTGCTTTTCTTTTTTTTGTTAAGTATGTATTTCTCTCTATTGCTATTGTGATTCCTATCAAAAAGGGCAAAGAACAGGAGCAACTGCTGCTATCTGGAGAACAAGTGCAGTGCATATTACTAAACTCTCCTATCTTGCTTGCAAAGCAAATCTTGCCTGGATAACATTAAATTTTCTCCTGAACGTTGCTCTATAAAATGCCTTTGTTACGCTGCAGATCTAAAGGAGTCCAAAGTAGGTAATTGTTGTAATCGTCCGTGCAGTTTCTACATTTTTGGGCTTGCGTCAGTGGTTTCAGCTGAACCAGTAACTATGGGGCCCTGTTGTATTTTCTTTTTCAGTGGGAGCAGAATCATTTTGTCACACTTTCAATGCTGTAGTCACATCACATGTACAGTCGTTCCCTGTACAGATTCCTTTTTAGCCGAGAATATTTGTGTTGCCTTGTATTATCTTGGGGGGGAGGGAGGGGATGAGAAATTACAGCACCTGTAATACTCAAATAGTGGTATTGTCTGCAGGCCCACTTTTCCATTCCTGCTGTCTTCTGAAAGTAAAGCATTTGCATTGACTCTGATGTTGTTCTGTTGGCTTCACACCTACAGAAACTCACCTGTAATAACGTAAAGGGGGTAGGTAAGTGTTTTGGTGTCCTGTGCTCCAAGGTCATAGATAGTCTTTGGTTTCAGGATTAAGTAGGTAAATATTATAAACATAAATCTGTTTACAACTTAAGATCAGTTTTGGTAGTTGATATTTCTAGTTCATTTACTGTTTTTTCCAAAACCTTAATTTTCTCTATTCAGATGCAAGTAGCTGGTTTAAAGACCCAGCAGTTGTCACTGCTGTCCTACATTTAGGGCCAGTGTTTGAAAAGCATGCCACTAGCAATCGCATTGATGCGTGGTTTTGATGCATGAAAAGCAGAGTCCATTGCTGCTTCCATCAGTGTGGTAGAGCAGCAATACCTTGGATTATTTGAGAAACTGATGCGAGGTCAGCTTTAGATCCTAGTTTGGCATTCTTGGTATCCATAAATCTCTTCTGAAAGGCTATGGGAGGTTTTTTTGTATCAAAACCTGTAATATAGACCAAGCCTAGAATGACCCTGGAAGCATGAGAGTGATGCTTGGGTTTGAAAATGCCTGTGGAAACTCACTCACATAAACTTTCTGTCACCAGCTGTGTTGGTCAGTTGGCAATGACCATGCTGTAGATGTAGCTCTAGTCATAGGCAACACCTTCATTTTAAGAACATCCTCACAGTGGTCCTGAGTCATTGTGCTTCAGAAGGGGAAAATAAACAACAAAGTCCAGTGTCTCAATCAAGGAATCCCACACTTGGCCACAAGAAGCAATAACTTAAATTACAGTGTGACATGCTTCTTTGCCTGTAAATATCTCGAGGTTGCCAGTCCTGTGCTGTTTCAGATTATTTTCTGTCATCTGGCCTGTATCTTCCCTAAGTATGTAAGGGTGTGAAATAATTCCCATACTCAGGTCTGCCATAAACATGCTGCTTGCCAGAAGGTGAAGAGTAGACTCAACACTGTCTTGAAATGTGAGATTTTTCTGAACTTGTGACATACCCATGTATCTTGAGTAGCAACTCGTGTTTTTAAGTTCATAGGTGGAGGTGGCTGTGAGTTGGATTGTCTATAGCCCTACTCCATACAACGCCAAGAGAGCCATGCTACTGTCAGCACAGGGCACCTGTTGTCCTGTCTCTTTTGAAGCACTCTATAATAGCACTTCCCTTTTGAAGGAAGTAGCTAATTTTCTTTCAACAGGTACATTAAAACGATGAGTTTAGTGGGAGGTAAAAGCAAAAATATGAAGCACACTGTAAATTTGTGGTATTTTAATTTTGGGAAGAATAAAGCATAACGCAGATGGTCTTATTTGTAATCAATTTAACTTTCATATTCAAGGGTAAGTGTACTGCAGCATTGTGAAATGGAAGATGTGTAGGCAATGTACAAAAACGTGGGTGGATACTTGTGACCTTTTTTTCCTCCTGCTCCCCTCCTTTTATGATGTGAAGGGAGTTTTATGACTTAATCTTGAGATTTGTACATTTATCCTACTTAATGCTAGGAGCACTAGCTATTTAATTAAGTCTTTGCTGAAAGGCAGGAGAACTGGTAAAACTGACTCCCAG